CGTAATCAGCGTTGTTTACACTTAGGGTAAAGCGTGCGTATGCGTTGTGATACTCTCCAAAATGGCGGAAGACAGTAACTCGGGGGAGAAGAATTGTTGAATAAAGTCGTTATTATTGTTTTCTTTGTGCACAAAAAGTATTCTCGTAGCTTTGTAAAATTGAAGTTGAGCCACTGATGTCACATGGACTGTTCTGGACCTGGGAACATTGCAGTTGTGTTGCTGTCTATGGAGGGTCAGAGAGCCCTCAGATTCCATCAAAATTATCTTAATTTGTGTTCCAAAGATGAACAAAGGTCTTACGGGTTTGGAACGACATGAGGGGGAGTAATTAATGACAGAATTTTCATTTTGGGGTGAACTAACCCTTTAATGGCAAAAATCATTAGTATATTAAGTAAAGATCATGTTCCATGAACATATTTAGTAAATTTCCTACCGTAAATATATCAAAACTTAATTTTTGATTAGTAATATGCATTGCTAAGAACTTCATTTGGACAACTTTAAAGGCGATTTTCTCAATATTTTTATTTTTTTGCACCCTCAGATTCTAGATTTTCAAATAGTTGTATCTCAGCCGAATATTGTCCTATCCTAACAAACATGCATACATCAATGGAAAGCTTATTTATTCAGCTTTCATATTATGTATAAATCTCAATTTCAAAAAATTGACCCGTATGACTTGTTTTGTGGTCCAGGGTCCATAAATACACACACACACACATTATCAATATTTTATCAATATAATCACTCTTTCTGCAATAAAAAATAAATGTAGTCCTATAGGTGGACTTGTGTAATCTTAGTAGATAGATAGATAGATAGATAGATAACTAAACTTTTCACAGTATTTCACTGCATTTCTATGGCACTCCTGCACAGTTTCTACAGAATCCTTGTACTTTTTTTAACAAACAATGTTGCTATGTGTGCTGAAACAGAAATGGGGACAAAAACACGTAAACACCTCATGCAAGCTCTGCCGAAAACAATCTCTCTGTTGAGTGTGAGTGTGCTGTTGTTGTTGTTAAACAGTGTAGCTCGTTTAGTATAAATCTGTGTATAATCTCGTCGTTGTTTTCCTAAATCCTCCGTGAACGCGGTAATGACGTCACACTTACCTGATTAACATATTTCGGCACCTCTTGAACAGTCGCGAATGATGATTCATTAGGAGTCATCAGACTGAACAGCATACGAACCCCCTGAGAAACAGTCACATTGTTTCCTTCCACATGCGCCATTGCGTTTGTAAATGTGCTAAAATAATATTAAATAAAAAATGAGACTACAGTATAGATCAGTGGCTCCTTGCACTGCCGGATTAAACAGATGGGCGTTTATGTCTGCTGGGCGTTTATGAACACCTACAAAAGTCTGGACCTTTGAACTTCACTGTAAAGCCGCCATGAAGAGAGATGTCGTGATCACATGACACACGACAAGAACTTGATAATAAGCTATAGCTAAGTCGACCTATAGGCCTACTTTTATTTTTATTGCAGAAAGGCATAGCAAACTGAGCGATTAGATAAATATAGATAATATATAGAATAGAATAGACACAATAATATTCATACTTTTTGCATCATTTCACAAAATTATTAGGCTAGATGACAACACACAATACACTGTTGACCTTGATTTCTCTTAGTTTTCTTCACACATTACCTATCCCATCTCAAGTATGCTTTAAGTAACCTATACATTAATCAAGTATGGCTACAGTTTTTTTTTTTTTTACTCTTTTTTTTTTTATATGGGACTTCATTTTTTTAAATAAAAAATTTAATAATGAGTACATGAACAATATAACCACGCATACAATTTTAAATCTAAATAAGTAAATGAATAGTTAAATAAATAAATACATTTGCAAGGGACAATAAACAATACTGTATACAAAGACATTAAAGGGCATTCAGTACCTGTACAATATGAAATATTGATTCAATAGTATGTTTTTAAATGCTAAAAGTATGCCTTTTTCCCTGAGAATTTACATTAATGGACAGCAAATACTCAATGTTATCACATTTTTATTCTTATAGTTTAAAATAATTTTATTATAATAATTTTATTTTTATAAATATAGAAAGACAGAGGCCTATCATATGTGAATCCCTTTAAGGCCACAGCAGCAAACTGTAAATGAACACATATTTTGGAAAAGCTTGCAGTGTCTGCTGCTGTTTTTGGCTTGGACTATATTTAAAACAATGTAGCTTTTACTGTCCAGGAGAAAGAACATAAGAAGTCAAAGGGCAGTAAAAGGCTTCGATGTGAAACAGAGAGTAGCATGACTTTGTGTGTGACCTCTCTATTCCATTGTGCAGGAAGTTCCAGAAATCTCCTTGGTGATACGAAAACATTCAAACAAAATATCTTTTTGTGGTTTCTTCCGTCAAAAGCAGTTGAAGCTACAACTGATTCTTTTGGCAGGACCCTCAGAATCACTGGCCCTGGGCAAACGTGTCTTGATTCTCCTGGCTTGCATTACGAATTAGAATGCAGGCTCACTCTGTGGCGACAGCGAGAACGGACCATAACAATATTTCAGACCTGATTTTGTAATAGAATATGATCCGTTTGCTCACCCACCTCTCAGAATTAAGGCAGAAGTCCTGATCCTGCCTGGAGGAGAAGCTGAATTTAGCATATTCCCCTGCCCCTTCCTTAATAACTTATTCATGTAAGCTCCTCGCTCAGCCTTAGCATATATTCATCTCATAATCATGGTGATGAGTCGCAGACCCTCACTGGATTTCTCTATAGAAACATTCAACTTAAGGCATGAAGGTGCCGAGGGTTAAAAAATGTTCTTGATGGATAAGACTCGCAGCTGAATACACAACGGTTGTGTATCAGTGCATAAGGTCCAGTCAAATTGTGTGCAATTAAGGCCCAGAATTTCAGCTTCTGTAAGGAGGTCCCTATTGCTCAGCATCAGCATAAAAGTAGATGCAATGTGACTCAACACAAATTCTAACTACTACTTAACAAATCTTTCAAGATTACTCACTACCAAAGGCAGATGTCTTCACATTAAATTAAAATATTCATGTTAAGATTATCAATTTATCATAACTTAAAATGCATCTGTTTTAAGGAATAAGTAGAGGGAACTTATAAGATTTCAATAATCAGATACAGGCAGCAAGGCTCAACAATAAGGATGTGTTTTGTACTTGCTCAGCCAGGCCACAATTTTATATTTCAGTATTCTTTTGAAATCTATTTTAATTTACCCATATAATTTTGAATGTCTAATTTTAAGTGTATAATTGTAAATATATACATAATAGTGTATATAAATGTATAATATTTTACATTATTTAATATTATTATTAATTTTTTTTAAATATGATTTATTAATTTTTCAATGTAAGCCTGTTTCTGCCACGAAATAAAAAAGTAAATAAATAAAAAGGTAACTGCGACTTTTGATCTCACAATTTAGACTTTCTTCTCAAAATTGCAGAATATAAACTTTCTCATAATTTTGAGTTTGTTTCTGCCATGAAATAAAAGATTTTAAAAAAGTCATTTTTAGCTCACAATTTCGACTTTCTTTCTTGCAATTTACAGTATATCCCACAATTCTGACTTTTCTACTCAGAATTGTGCATTTGTATCTCGCAATCCAGACATTTTTTTCCCAGAACTGCAAGGAAAAGTCAGAATTGTGCGAATATAAATTTGCATTTAACTTTTTTATATTTTTATCCCATAGTGTGGGGTTTTATATTTTTTATCCCAAAACGTCCTATAAAACCAAATCCCACAGTTCAACCCATTCTTACCAATGCTACTAAAATAAATAAATAAATATAAATAAATAAATAAATCACAAAAGTCACAACCAAAATGTCCTAGAAAACCAAATGGGTGGCAATTCCATCAGCTGGCCTGAAACTGTAGGCAAAAGCCTCAAATCTTTCTTCAAGCAGTGTCTTTCATTAGCTGACCTCAAAGAAAGATTCATTCTCGATTTTAAAAAAAATCAAACCAAGCAACATATGAAAAGTTTATTGTTGAAGCATATGGTATTGTGTGCACATGATACAGCTGTCAGATTTTTGAAAAATATTAATACTTATTATATTTACATGACATAATATCATCTGAAATGTTTCTGAAGGCACGCTTGATTGATCATTATTCCGATGACATCAACATGGTACAAAAACATACAGTAGAAATCAATTAAAGGACAGAAATTGACAGTGCAAACTAAAACTTACACCTTTTCAATGCAAGATCTGAATGGAATGTTGTTGGGCCAGATTGGACTGCTAGATTCTGTCTTTCAAGTAAAGAGCAGTAGAAGGGTACTTTAAAGGTGCTGTAAGTGATTATTTTATGGAATAGCATGCAGAAAATACCATGCGACCTGACAGAAGTCCATAGGCTCTGTAAACAGCAACAAATCTGGGATGTTATTCGGCTTTGCTGACAGGCAGGATTTTAAAATGGCTTACAGCACCTTTCAAACGTGTTAACAAATTCTGTCAAACAAGCAAGGCACATTTTTTGTGAAAATTGATGCCAGGGTATCACACATATTCTGTATCATCCAAATGCACAACAATACATCAGTCCTGTGTACATTTTTACATTGTCACTACTCTTGAGGCGTCACAGGAACTGTCCTGATAGGCGTCGTGTTACGGTGCCTCCTCTTTGGCACATATGGTCTTTGTGTACTTTCAGTCTGTACTTTCAGTCCGTACTTAACATAATCCCTAACTGAACATGACCCTAGATAAGCATCGAAAGGCGAATGGGATCTGTTTGTATCATAAGTGAGCATGCTCAGAGCTCTGGTCGCTGTCGTGGCTGTCCTCATTGTTGATAAGCGAGTCCGGTGTATGGTGGAGTCCAGGAATTCCCGAAAACTCGGAGGGAAGCAGCGTTCCCTTCTTCACATTCAACACTAACTGCTGTTACTGAAACCATGCCTTCTTTCTTTGCGTGCACATTTGGGCCGCATTGTGCTAATATTTCCACATAGTGAGGTAGATATGTGGGGGCGTGTTAGAACGAGCCGTTTTAGGGGGGCGTGGCAGAGTCTTAACTTTGATAAAGAATATCTCTTTGGTTTTGAGACTTTAGTCTTTGCAACTTCAGGGATCTTATCTATGCACAATCAGCTTGTAACACTCCAAAGAGAAAGGAAAACTTGAAATCGCATCATATGACCCCTTTAAAATGACGCAGAGTAAGAATAAACTAAATGATTCAGTAGTACTTTTTTGAATACTAAAAAGCATGGTTTCTTCCCTGACAATTTACATTAATGGATATGGAATTCTAAATTTTTCAGACAGTATACTGAATACTGAAATACTGATATACTGAATTAATTATTTGTTATCACTTTTTTCTTTTTTACATTCGTATAGTGTTAAATAATTTTATTCTAAATTTTATTTTTATAAATATAGAAAGACAGAGGCCTATCATATGTGAATCCCTTTAAGGCCACAGCAGCAAACTGTAAATGAACACATATTTTGGAAAAGCTTGCAGTGTCTGCTGCTGTTTTTGGCTTGGACTATATTTAAAACAATGTAGCTTTTACTGTCCAGGAGAAAGAACATAAGAAGTCAAAGGGCAGTAAAAGGCTTCGATGTGAAACAGAGAGTAGCATGACTTTGTGTGTGACCTCTCTATTCCATTGTGCAGGAAGTTCCAGAAATCTCCTTGGTGATACGAAAACATTCAAACAAAATATCTTTTTGTGGTTTCTTCCGTCAAAAGCAGTTGAAGCTACAACTGATTCTTTTGGCAGGACCCTCAGAATCACTGGCCCTGGGCAAACGTGTCTTGATTCTCCTGGCTTGCATTACGAATTAGAATGCAGGCTCACTCTGTGGCGACAGCGAGAACGGACCATAACAATATTTCAGACCTGATTTTGTAATAGAATATGATCCGTTTGCTCACCCACCTCTCAGAATTAAGGCAGAAGTCCTGATCCTGCCTGGAGGAGAAGCTGAATTTAGCATATTCCCCTGCCCCTTCCTTAATAACTTATTCATGTAAGCTCCTCGCTCAGCCTTAGCATATATTCATCTCATAATCATGGTGATGAGTCGCAGACCCTCACTGGATTTCACTATAGAAACATTCAGCTTAAGGCGTGAAGGTGCTGAGGGTCAGAAAAATGGTCTTGATGGATTAGACTCGCAGCTGAATACACAAAAACGGTTGTGTATCAGTGCAGAAGGACCAGTCCAATTACGTGCAATTAAGGCCCAGAATTTCAGCTTCTGTAAGGAGGTCCCTATTGCTCAGCATCAGCATAAAAGTAGATGCAATGTGACTCAACACAAATTCTAACTACTACTTAACAAATCTTTCAAGATTACTCACTACCAAAGGCAGATGTCTTCACATTAAATTAAA